ACGGATGGCTTATAGTAGTAGATGTTGACTCCTATATTGCCCTGGTAAATTACTTTGATTTCTTTAATGAGCATGAGTCCTAAAGATCAAGTAGTTGAATACTCTGCTGTTCTTCAGAAGCAGGGTTAAATAAGTTGCTATTCTGAGCTAATTTAATTATTTACCTATTAAAATAGAACTTGTAATAAGGTCTGAAACATCAGCGATAGTGTCCCCTTTATAAACATTTAAGGACACTTCTAAAATTTAGATGACTGCAGCTTTGGTACCTAGATTTATTATTTTCTTCTTACAGAATATATAAAGCCTTTTTTTAAATACTCATAAACATTGCTAGCACTCACTTGATTGTTTGACCATACAAAGAGTGTATCAAGCTGAGTGCAGTTTGACGAAGAGAAGTAGCATCTTGGTTATCTGACATACCACCGAAGTCCTTGGCTTAAGAACACATCTATTCATGTTGTTTTAATTCTTAGAAGGCATCTGCAAAAGTCTCTTTTGCTATAGGCTGAATGTCAGGTGTATCTGACATTCTACAGGATCTGTAGATCTTATTCCACCCTCCCCCCGTAGCAACCCATGTAGACCCCGGGTCATCACCTACTCAAGATGATTCATCTGTAGGTCAGCAGCAGAATGCATCTTCTGTCTTTGCCAACACGTCTGCACTATTTAGGGGTATTGGAGCTCACAAAATTCATGAAGAAATAAAAGCATTTTTTTCTGAGGCTATCAGACTCTGGAATGAGCTGCCAGAGGGACACAAAATTCAGTCATTGTTAGGACATAGTATATGACACCTTTTCTTTTTGATAAACCGTTCCTTCTGAAACAGCATAGATTAAAAACAAATGCAAACGTTATGAAACTGCTTTTCACAGGAAGGAAAAGGTAAATATCTGAATGTTCTGTGTATGGGAGCCTTTCTGAAAGTCTCTTAAATACTAGACCAAAGGCATAGTGCAGAAAGAATAAATGTTTAAAATGTAAATGCGGAACGTGTTCTTGAGGCTGTCACTGATCAGTTTCTGCTACCTTTTCTTTTTCCTATGTTGTCTTATCTCAGTTTGGTAATTGTGATTATCGTGCTAGCCACTTGGATGAAAAAAGGCTGTATTGCAGCTGTAGCATCAGTTCCTAGTTGTGGTAGAGGTATGAAAAAAGCTGCGTCTAGATGTTGAGATGTCTGTGAAAATACTACTTGCCAACTTTACCTAAGGAACCATGAGTTTTTCAGCAATTTTCTGGTCTTGATAACTCCTTGACTCCTGATAGGTTAGTGCTATTAGGCCATCAGCTGTCTTTTTTTAAATTACTTTTCTTGATTTTGTTCATTTGTCTTTATATAGAAGAATCTTTACAGTCAACATGTATTTCTAGATGCTGTGTTAAAATTGCTGGCAGAGTCTATTATTCTATACAAACTGAACAATCTGGCCCCTTGTTTTATTTATAAAGGTTCAATGTATCTTTGCCTGCCTACATCAATCTGCAAGGGAGTGTCAGAAAGGCCCCGCATTCGCCGAGCCGTGAGTTATCAATAACTTTTCAGATGTGTTAATGAATGTGGAACAAACGCAGTTATGTGTTTAAAAAATATGGATCCACCTCCTAAAAAGCCAAAAAAAGAAAAGCAAAACTCAAAACTCTTTACTGCAGTAGCAGGCATGATTATAAAGGGATTGCTCTAAATTTTTAGTAGTGTAAGTATAACTAAGCAGTAAGGTCGCCCTCTAGAAAACCTATTGTTGAACTGCTTTGAAGCTGTCTTTAGCCTGTGGATTACAGGTTTTAATTGTTGTATCCTGCAGGCAAATTAAGCATGTGGTGTTTTTGGAAACTTTTGTTTGCTTAATAATCTGAAACTTGGCCCATCTGAAAATGTTATATATTAGCATCCTATGCGTAGAACTGATACTTAAAAATCTGATTACGTAATAGTAAGAAAGACTTGACTAATAAAATACGGGTTTTTTATTCCCCTCTGTTGTAGTTACCTCAGTAATGAATTTGGCTTCTTTAATTGTTTAACAAATTAAAAATTCTCAGTGTTTCAGGTCATGAAGCCTTAAAAAAAATTAACTGCAAAATATATCTATATTCTTTAAAAATATTTGATGAAATGGAAAAGGCTGCTATCTGAACTCATTGTATGCCTCTGTTTTCCCCCAGCAGCCCTCCTTGCTTCAGTAATTCACCAGTAGGTTTTCAACGATTAGAGATTTTAACAAGTTGTTACATTTTAAAAAATGAATAAATAGATACATCCTGAGAGAGATTAAGGTGTTTTATCATGCCTGTGTCTTAACAAGAAGGGAGCCGTAGCAGTGGTCTCTCTTACGAATCTCAAATAGTGACAATTATGTTATGACTTGAAGGAAAATATATTCCTGCCCTCATCCCCAAAATACCAGCTGGTTACTTTGTTCTGAAGACTTTAGGTCTTGCTCCAAGATGGGGTTATTTAAACTTGCGATTGGACCTCAGTGTGTGGGCAGGTTGATGCTTCTGCTGATGCAGGAACTACAACCTGCCATGATGAAGACGTAATTAAGATGTTCCCAGCCCAACAAACAGCATGTAGAAACGAAAAAAAATATGGCTTATGATACGGAGATATGCAAACATCTGTAAAATAATTTTGCATATAGGCTATGTCCATATGTTTGACTGACTTTTTTTCAGGTTTGTAAGCATTTAAAATCATTCTTCTCCAACTCTTTATGCTACTCCAATCAGAAGTAAGAGGGTGCATGGCATCCAAGAGCAAAATCATAAAATGAGTATCAGGTGGGATTCGGTGAAGACTCAATATGTATCATTTTGTGTTTATGAGGCTGCTTTTATATGCTAATTGTTGCATACAAATACATCACTATTTCATGCAAAATCTGAATAGAACATTATATAGCTCATTTAACAAATGCTGTTGTAGCAAAGTGTTTTTAAGCTAATGCTGTCTTTCTGGTTTCAAGCACTTTTCACGCTGCATTTTTGAAGGGGAAGTGAGAGAAGATTTTAAAATAGTATTACAGAGCATTAAAACATGTATTTGTGTTTTTGGTGTTATTTGGCAAAGAAGCATACAGTGTTTTAAGTTCTAGTTTCCATAGGCCTTCACTATGTGACAGGGCAATGTTAACGCTTTGCATGTAACCTGCAGAACATGTCTGGCTTCCCCAGATTTCTAACCTGGAATGTGTTGATTTCTATATTGCAGGTGACACTACCCGTCAGCGCATCAAATTCAGTGATGACAGAGTGTGCAAGAGCCACCTTCTCAACTGCTGCCCTCATGATGTGCTCTCTGGAACTGTATGTAGCTAAATCTTATGTTTTATTTAGATAAGAATGCAGAAATTGAATTATATTTGTTCTTAGTAATATCTCTTTTAACTTCACGGTTTTCAGCGAGTATCTATCTAGTGCTCTCTGGTAGTTCAGAGGCACTTTTGTGAACAACTAACTTATGAGTTATGAAGTTATTTTTTAGAAGTTTCCTGTTCTATATGCTAATTACTACTTACAAATTCATCATTGTTTGCTATAACATAAAAAAAATCTAAAATAGATAAGGTTACTTACATGAATTGTGCTATAGCAAAGTGGTTTTAAGCTGGTACTGTTGCAACTAGTAGGAAAAAAGGAAATATAATTTATGCATAAACTGTGAAGTTACTTTCTTAAAATTGCAGTGAGAAATTATCCCACAAATATTTGTATAGGGAAGAGAGGTGATCTTTCTTCAGAAATATTTTGGTGAAAACAGTTGAAAGTTCAATGAATCTCAGCTTCTAGAAATGAAATTATTTGAACACCATAATGACAGTGTACAACATCCAGTTACTGTGCCATTTTCACAAATTATAGGGCAATTTGAAAATCTCCATTTATGACATATTAATAACTTCACTTTTTTGACTTGGAATTTTATGTACTCTATAGTAGAGGTTCCTCTCCCTGAGCATAGCAAACAAGGGGCTTTGAAACATACTGGTAGCTCTGTCAGTGTGCCCATGCTTTACCTTGTGGTGCCTGATTAAGGTAGCTTATTCTTTGTGAAAGGCAGGTAAGTTACGTTGCATTGACTCTTTAACCTAATGTTCCATGGTGTTAGAAGAATTAACAGTAGAGAGATGTAGTATGATGATATGCAGAGTCTTGTGTGCCTACCATTCTTAATGCTGCACTTTGGTAGCTTTCCTTATTCACGTTGGCACACTTTCTTACCCTGTGGCAGAGGGGAAAATAAGTACTGGAAAACCTGTCTTAAGGATTGTTTGAAGCATTATTGGTTTTCTGTGCTGTATCCTTCCAAATGGCTAACTTGACTGGAGCCTTTAATGAAATACAGAATGAAGTTCATTTGCAAAATCGAAAACTGAAATACATAGACTTGGTAACTGATTTACCTGTCACCTAGCCTCTAATATGCTTTCCAAGTAGTTGTGATGTTAAATTAACTATAACATTTTTGGTTGATCAAAGGACTTCAAACATGCATGCACACACTAATTTTGTTTATTTTATTAATTTTGGCACTTGTACTGACAGATCAATAGTAACAGTCCGTCCTTCCCTCTTCTTAAGAGTCCCTGCAAAAGTAGGCACAACTGTAATTGCTAAGAAGCACAGGAAGAAGGGACAAAATAAGTAGTAGAACTGAACTAGAGAACTTAGCATTTGTCTTAATAAAAAAGGCAGTGGAATAGAAAAGACCCACTTGTTGAGTTTCTTCATAAGTCTTGTGGCTTCCTACATTGGAAAGACCCACTTGCTGAGTTTCTTCATAAAGCTTGTGGCTTCCTACATTTTTTTTTTCCTATCCTTAAAGACACCCTTTCCTTTTTCTTTCGTATAGCAAAGTTCTGCCATATCACAAAAATCGGGTGTCTTGAAGTTAATGTGGTGTGTTTGGCATATGCTGAAGATAATTCACACTGAAAATATGCGTCTTGCACATATTTCCTTACCTTCAAGTCATTCTTTTTTATAAGTGATAACAAATTGATAACAATGCTTTGTCTATCAGTGCATATGTAGTTTTATTTTTAACTGTTCTGTGCATTACTGTCCAAACAAAATGGGGGGGGGGGAAGGGAGAAGAATGTGTTCCTCTTCACCCATCTGTTATGTTGTCCAGTGTTTTGGTTGTGTGATGAGCAAAATAGCTCATGGTCAGGGGAAGTCATTGGTCAGAGTCCACAAGAAGATACTGTTGAAAGATTAATTTGACAGCTTTTCATTGTGGTCTAATTTCTATAAGCAAAGATTTCTAGAATGGCTGTCTTTAGCAAGTAAGAAATGTTTATCTTTGGAACTATAAAAGTCATAGGTATCATGCAAAAATGCCTCTTACGGTGCAGACCAAGCATGTAGGTTGGGCCTGTTTACCCAGTTTGTTAGTCCTCACTGAAAGTTCTCATCTGCCTCGTACTGGATTCTGCTGCTGCTGCTCTTGGAGTACTTAAGTAAACTACTTACTCATTGAATACCAATCTCTCGTTGGTTTTTTTTTTCTTCCTCATAATGCAGTTAGTCATCGGACCACAAAATATGTTCCACGATGTAATTCTGGGTCCAGAAAAACACTGACCAGTTTAATCCTTTTAGTGGGAGTAGTAGAAAGGGATTCATAAGAGACAGGCTTTGTCTGACCCATGTGATGTTCTGCTGTTTACCTAGTCATTGGTCTGAAGAAATGCACCTTCTGTCTTAATAGCACAGTTTTTAAAAGGGCAAGAAGCTTGTAGCGTAACTAAACAGTTTATCATTGATTTGGAAAATGATTGTGGAGTTTTCTCCAGAGTTTTGATAGGAAAATTTTGATGCATCTTCACGTTCAAGATCTGTAGGCAACAAAGATTGACTTTTTTTTTTTTAATTCAAATCCAGAATCTTATGCTTCTGAAAGAATAAGTTCTCTGGGGACATTTTATGAGGTTAAATCTCTTCATTGACTAGATTATCAGTAAAATACTGGACATGAATTGCCATTTTTTTTGTCTCACAAGATAATCTGTGCAATTCTTATGAACTGCATATTACTGTTCCCATCTGCAAAATGCAGACTTCTATGCTATTCCAATCCACCCACTCTTTCAAAAGCACTCAAGGAGGACATTCACAGATAACGCAAGACAAACGAAATGACTCATGTGAGTAGGCCCTGTTAATTTAGTGTGTTCTTTTCCTTAATGGCCAAATACCTAAAACTCTGCCAAGGAACTGATTTCCCTTGACAATAAAATCACATTCCCCAGGCTGCAGTATGTATTAGTAAAAGTTTTGCATGTATACTTTTCTTAAAAGATTGGAGACTCTCTTTGTTGTCCAGATTTCTGCATATATTATCTCTTATTTGTTAGATGAAGTGTGTGCTTATTTTTAAGAATACTGTATGAAGTCTTTGTTACTTCTAGACTTCTCCAGAACACTTGCAGTAGGTATTTTCCTCAAGTTTCTTTGATCAGATTTCTCTTTTGGTTAACATTAGAAACGCTTCAGGAAAAAAGCATCCATACAAATTAGTTAAGTTTTGAATTTTACTAGGAAACTTCCATTGGCTAGATTGGCAACAGTGCACAGCTTCCTACTTTTTTGAGCTTTCTTGTGCACTTCTCTGTGTCTTGCTTCCTCAGAGTAGTTTGTGTTTAAAGGAACAATAAAGTTGTCTTTAAAGGAACCCTAAATATTTGACTTAGGAGTGTAAAGCCATAAGAATTAACTGTATTTTGAAATTTAATTCTTTCTTCTGGCTGCTGTTGCCAACAAAACAGTTCATTCTGTATCAGTTACCCTCTTCTTCCACTTTTCTGGATAGAATTGTCCAGTTGTCTGTTAATGAGCCTTGATTGTTACCTACTTAAATCAGGAGATTTTGGTTACATTCCGGTTTTATTTTATTTCATTTTATTTAGGGTCATGTTTTTGTGCTACTAGGTTTCTGGTCTTGTAGACTTGAAAAATTCTAAGTCACGCAGTCAGAGGTGTCTCAGTGCCTTCAGGAGATGATTTTGTGTCACTTCAGGGGGAGACAGGGAGAGTATGGGTTTGGATTTTCTTGTAGTCTGCTTCTAAGGGCAATGGGAATAATGGGCTACATGGAAGACATAGGTAGAATAGTGAGTCCCAGCAGCAAAAATGTAAACAAAGATAAAATTATAGCATCTTCTTTCAGTTTATTAAATTATAATTCCAAATCTTTTGTGCTCTGTGATTATCATCTTATTTGAAATGTGTTTTGAAGTTTGTGTGAGGCACATAGTAAACTTACTGGTAAGATTGCAGAAATGACTTTGTATTCGGGTTGTAGAACAGTGTCTGTTCAGAACCTGCTTTTGATAATGCCTCTCACAAAAGCTCTTTTAGTTTTAACTGACATTTTTCATGTTTTGGTGCCCTGCTTTTTCATAATGATCACTTAGGCACTGGTTCATGTGCATAAGTCAGTGGTTTAAGAGTTTACTCATTCATTTCAAGTTGAGAATTTTATAATGAGAGATTTGTAAGACTTTGTAAACCCTGGCTACTGGGACACAGTGAATAACTTACCACTTAAAGTTAGCAATTTTTATTTAAAATTTTTGTCTTAAAGGGTTAACACTCTTACTTTAGCTTTTTTATCCTTAATAGTTGCTGATGATCAGGCTTGTGGGTTTTTGGGGTTTTTTTCCAAGCCATGGTTCTTGAGTTATTTTTCATCAGGGTTACAAAAATGTTTGTTTATATTTACCTATATTATGAGATTAGGACTGAAGCTACATATGTGGGAGTCAGATGACTCCCCTGTAATGGTACAAACCTATTAAGCAATGTTCCCTGGATGTAAGCTCTGTGCTGTTTTCGGCAGGTTTTACAAGATATATAAGAATGTGTTTTCTCTATCTTTGTATGTTTCTGAATGAATAGCTGAGTACTAATGAAAATGACACGGTGGGAAGATTTAAAGCAAATAGCTTTAATAAGGTTAAAAGCAGTAATGTCCTGAATATTTATAGTAACCCACTAGCTATCTTTGAAGAGCCCAAGCACTTCAACACTTCTGCAGCAATCCAACTTTCTTATTAGCTTGATTGTGCTTCCCTGTTGAAAAAATTTCACAAATACTGTATGTGGTCTTGCAAACCATGGTTGAGAAGCTCCTTTCTGCTCAGTGGATTAACTTTGTGTTTCTATTTATGTCTATTTGTTGAGGAACGTTGCTTCTTGCATTTTATTTATACAGACCTCAAAGTATGCTCTGTCAGCTCAGTCCTGCAGTTAAGCATATCTTTAGGTGCTTATGAATTTATTGCACTCAACTCTTAGGACTC